TGTGTGTATATATTTGTGTGTATATGTATTTGAGTGTATATATAGTTTTGTGTGTATATATAGATTTGTGTGTGTATATTTATTTGTGTGTGTGTATATATATTTGTGTGTGTATTTTTACTTGTGTATGTATATATTTGTGTGTGTATATATATGTATTTGTATGTCCATATATTTATGTGCGTATATATATTTGTGTGTATATATATTTATGTGTATGTATATATATATGTTTGTATATTGTGCGTATATGTATGTTTGTGTTTATACATATTTGTGTATGTATATATATTTCTGTGTGTATATATTTGTGTATATACATTTCTGTGTGTATATATTTGTGTATATATATTTTTGTGTATATATATTGCTGTGTGTATATATTTGTATATGTGTGTATATATGTTTGTGTGTGTATTTTTATTTGTGTATGTATTTGTGCGTACATATATTTGTGTGTACATATATTTATATGTGTATATATGTTTCTGTGTATATTAATTGTGTGTATACGAATATTTATGTGTGTATATACTTAGGTGTATATATATTTATGTTTGTATATTATGTGTATACATATTTGTGTGTGTATATGTATTTATTTGTGTATATATTATGTGTGTATGTATATATCTATGTGTATATATATTTCTGTGTGTATATATTTGTGTATATATATATTGCTGTGTGTGTATATATATTTGTGTAGATATATTGCTGTGTGTATATATATTTGTGTATATATATTGCTGTGTGTATATATATTTGTGTATATATATTGCTGTGTGTGTATATATATTGCTGTGTGTATATATATTGCTGTGTGTATATATATATTTGTGTATATATATTGTTGTGTGTATATATATTGTTGTGTGTATATATATATATACTCTATGAACTGATAAATGTCGATAGTTGTAGAGGGTCTTCAAGCCTTTTGTTCATCGGGACATTAAGAGTCGTGCTCGACTTGACAGCAATCAACAACAACGTGTGTGTGTGTATGTGTGTGTATCTTTTGGAAGCAGGAATGGCATCCACTTTCAACATAACATGCTTCTGGTGACTCTATGAACCTTAATAAATGATGATAGCTTTACAAAGGCTGCAGGCTACACTCGACGGCCGTCCACAACAACAACATGTGTATTTATACATATATATATTTGTGTGTGTGTCTGTGTGTGTGTGTCTGTGTGTGTGTCTGTGTGTGTGTGTGTCTGTGTCTGTGTGTGTGTCTGTGTGTAATATATATATATTTGTGTGTGTATATATATATGTATATATATGTGTGTGTGTATATATATATATTTGTGTGTGTATATATATATATACACACACACATACATGCATCTATTTGCAAATATACACACACCGCTGTATTGTCTATAACGTTGTTGTTGGGTAGCATCGAGTCAGAACTGACCCACAGCTGACCATCCAGCGGGGTTTTAGAGCAGTTAATCTCACGGGAAGAGAAGACCCATCCTTCTTCCGTGCAGCGGTTGGTGGAATCCAACAACACCACATAGCTTTACATACACTTAAAAACCTATACACACCTATCTACACACAAATAACATAAACACTATAAATTTGCATGCACCCATACATATCTGCAAATTAATATCGACATGCATAAGCATGTTGTTATGTGCAATCAAGTCACCTACAACTCATAGCGACCCTTTGGACAACAGCTCTAAACCCTACTCTGTCCTGTGCCAATCTCACTGTCCCTGACAAACCCATCCCAATTACCCCAGTCACTGAATCAATCCATCTCATAGAGGGTCTTCCCCTCCTGCACCTGTCCCTCCACCCTCCCAAGCATGATGTCCCTCTCCAAGGACCTGTCTCTCCTTACAACATGTCCAAAGTTAGCAGACGAAGCCTCAGAATCCTTGCCTCCAAGGAGCAGCTTGGTTTAGACCTCTCCAGGATGAATCTGTTTGTTTGCTTGGCAGTCCATGGTACCCTCAATACTCTTCTCCAGCACCACAGCTCAAAGGCATCAATTCTCCTTCTAGCCTCCTTGGTCATTGTCCATCTCTCTGACGCATAGCAAGTGATTGCAAAGACCATGGCCTGGATCAGGCACACCTTAGTCTCCGGAGTGACACCATTGCTCTTCAGTACTTTGGAGAGGTCCTACACATAAACGTATGTATTTATACATAGCGAGGTCTGATGTCTTAGCGGTAAGGAATTTTAAATATTTTGGACCCACCAGCTGCTTTTGAAGGAGAAAGATGGGCAGACTCCTTGCCCCCCATGGACATCACCTGAAAACTCAATGGAGGGTCAGGTCTGGGTTGGTTCCATCTCCAAGGTACACAACCACCACCACCATCCACTGAGACAGAGAATTTAGAAACATACACACACAGTGCACACACACACACACACACACACACACACACACACTTATATATAAATATAATTATATGTACATAAATACACCTATAAACTCATAGCTGCTGAAGCTGGCCCGAGTCTCAGCTGACCCCTCCAGTGGGTTCTCAAAGATTGTGGAAATCACACACAAAAAAACCCACAGTTCCATCTTTCTTGAGCTGTTTGTGGCCTAGAAACCCCAGCTTGTGAACTAGCCAGGTAACTTCTGAGCTCCCAACACAAATCCTTTAAAAAAAATAAAAAGGAAAATCAAACAAAACCAAAAATTTCAACCCTTTGTTTCAAGCTGAAATCAAGGTCTCAGTGACCCTCCAATGCACTCTTCCGAGGCTGTGAAACACGCTGGAAAATATTGTGTATCTTTCTCCCTCAGAGAAGCTGATGGGTTTTAAAATGTCCAGAGATTTTCCAAAGCTGCATTGACAGCACTTGTCCGCGTGGGTTTGGAATGACTGGACACCAGCAGCAAAGACAGTCAGAGAAAAAGACAGAGGCCCTGCAGGACAGACAGAGAGCAGAGCTGCCCAAAGGGTCTCCAAAGCTTTGAATCTTTTACAGAAGCAGATGGCCTCTCTCTCTGACCGTCCATCCATCTTCCCCAGCAGAACGTATGAAGATGAAGTTTCACCATCTTTGCCTCCAAGGAGAACCTTGGATGCAGCCTCTCCAAGACAGAGCTGTCTGTTGTGCTCTCTTGGCCATCCATGGGATGTCCAGTGCTTTTCTCCAACACCACATCTCAAAAGCATTCATTTTCCTTCACTGTCATCCTTATCCATTGTCCAGGAAGCTTATTCATTGCATAGGAAGCAATGGGAAAACATTATTATCTTAGATCAGACACACCTTAGTCTTTAAACTGGCATCCTTGCTCTGAAGCACTTTGGAGACCCCTGATTTCTCCCAATGCAACGCGGTCAGATTTGGGAGTGGGGGAAAAGGGGAAAGAGGAAAGGTCCGGTGTTGGCACAGATGGCTGGAAAGGGTTCATCACACCAAGCCTGCGAGGTCCTCTGAAATGCCAGGGATGAATTTGTTCGTCATGAGTCAGCCTCGCCTTTAATATCACCTACTGTGTCATCTCTTGCAATGACGGCGCATGCAAAATGCCCTTTGCAAGGCCAAGAAGGCGACCCACAAAGCATCCCTGTGGTGCCTCGGGGGACGCACATGTGGGCTCCGGGGCGCACAGCGAGGGTGGACCTCCCTTCCCAGTTATTAACAGAAGGGAACTCCACAGGGTCCTTGCGTCATGGCCACCACAACAGAACCTCAAAGACCCTCCACTCCTCGTTCTCCAAGAGCAAACAGCCAGCAGGGGAGTTCTCTAGACTTGTGGGGAGGGCGAGAAGCTGTCTAAATGGGGATAGGAGAGGGCCCTCGCGTGTCAGATTACAAAGCTGTCACTTCATGAAGCTTTCAGGGGCTGATTTTTCCAGACTCAGCCTGAACTCCTCACCTTCTTCTGGCTTTGACTTCACCAGATTCGACCCCTCGCCTTCCTCTGAGAAGCCCAGCTGCGCGCTCACTGTGCGCGCTTGCTTCTCTCAGGGGCTTTTTTGG